AATCCCCTCACTGATTACACTGTAAATGATAATCTACCTTAACCAAAATCAAAGTAGACTATCACTCACCCACACCAGATGGAAAACTCTACAGGCTGTCGGTTCACACCCCATCACAAGCCAGCAAAACATCCACGAAACAAAAAAATGTCTCTGCCAAAAAATACACTCCAGACACGCCGCTGGCACTAGAGGCACAGCATGGCCGCCTAGTAACGGCCCCGACCACTGCCACTCGACCTGACCGGAAAAAACCGTAGCAGGAAGCTAGCGAAGTCGTAGCATATATCGTCACAAACAGAACTGCCCAGTAAACCGTAGGCAGAGAGAGAGAAGAGGACAACAAACGAGGGGCTGTCACAAACTGTTTCGTCAGAGTTTCACCAACTCATCAGGAGGCTGAACCCTCAGTCTGCAGAATCCCCTCACTGATTACACTGTAAATGACAATCTACCTTAACCAAAATCAAAGTAGACTATCACTCACCCACACCAGATGGAAAACTCTACAGACTGTCGGTTCACACCCAATCACAAGCCTGTACAGGGTTGCCAGGCCAAACGTATGGAGGCCCTTAAGCTGACCCCCGAACGTTCGGGCGTTCGGGTCCCCGTACGGGGCCCAAACCTGAAGGGGTTTGGACCCCGCAAAAAATTATTTTGGCACCTAAGTGTTATTTGTTTCTTCTGAAACGTTTTCTGTGAGTTCTTTGTGATGTAAGGTATCTCCATCTTAAGTTTGAAGCCATTCTGTTCAGCCAAAAAAAAATGAAAAATTGGCAAAGATGGGTGTCAAAACTTGCTTGCCCACTCACTAATTTGTTTTCTCTCTCTTTTCAATTTTTGTTTTTCCTTTATTTCGGGGCATGAAAAAAATTCTTATTTTTTCAAACTTTGTATATTCTCTATTATGTAAGATGCACATATCTAAGTTTTCATGGCATTTGTCAGAGCCAAAAAAAAATGAAAAATCACCAAAGATGGCGGTGTCCAAAACGTGCTCGCCCACTCGATAATTTCATTCTCGTTTTATTTTTTTTAATTTTCATTATCATTATTTAGTTTTAGTATTTGATTTTTATTTCAAATTTGGTAAAGAATTTGGATGTAATGTTGAGGCAAATGTTGTTTAGTTTATTCTTCTGTATAACATATATCGTCACAAACAGAACTGCCCGGTAAACCGTACGCAGAGAGAGAGAAGAGGACAACAAACGAGGGGCTGTGACAAACTGTTTCGTCGGATTTCAGATTTTTTTGCTTTTTGTTTTCTCGTTCGTTTTTTTTTTTTTTTGGGTCCGAGTTCGGCCGAACGGCCAAACGCATCGAGAGGGGGTGACGAACATTCGGGCGTTCGGGTTCGGGCGTTCGGCCCCGTCCCGAACGCCGGCAACCCTGTATATATATATTTTCACACTGTGAACGTCAACCCTGTATATATATCGTCAAATAGAACTGCCCGGTAAACCGTAGGCAGAGAGGGAGAAGAGGACAACAAACGAGGTATATACATATAGTTTTAATTAAAAATTTTAATTTAAATTTGGGAAAAAATTTTGATGTCACCCTGAGGCAAAAGTTGTTCAGTTTATTTTTCTGCATAACATAATTTTTTTTTTTTCAGAGTTCTTGGATTTTTTTTTTTGGCTGGAACCTTCCCTGGTCCTTGCACAGCCAGGCTGCACAGAAAAATAGGGTGACCCGGGCGCACCGGCTGGTAGCCTAGATTATTATTATATTTTTTAACAATTAACTGACATTCTTGAAAAACTGAGGCTCAGGCCGGAAACCCTCCAAGACAACCCAGGAAAAAAGGATGGCCCCGGGCTATTACACAGCTTCACTCTCAATCGAGTCGGCACAACTCCAGCTGTAATGACAGTGCATACTTCTTTTTTTTTTTTTTTTTTTTATTTTATGACAGTGCATTCTATTCGGGTGAAGACGGCAGTTCAGATTGACCTAGGAACTGTCTGCCACAATGAAAGGCGTGCTACAAAAGCCTACAATTGCCGCCCAACCGCGACGGACCTCGATCATGAATGCCCACAAGGCTCAAGCATCCTCCGGGACATCCCTTAAAAATCGAACGACACAGAGAAAGAAGATCAGCATGCCCCAGCGCAAGGATGACAGTGTGACATGCATAAATCAAGAAATGGTGTAAAAAAGCCCCTTCAACAATTGAACTCTTCGGTCTGCTACCGGTAGTCATGATGAGAGTGCATTGTGTTCGGCCCGAGACGGTAGGAACTGCCTGTCGCCGACTTTCGGGGCATAGCTTAAAATTGGAACGATACAGAGAAGACTAACACGGCCCCAGGCTGTGCAAGGATGACACGCACAAGCGAGAAACGGTCTAAATTTAAAGAACGCCTGCCACAAAAAAAAGGCCTCCCATCCTACATCACCCTTCTCTCAGAGGAAACGACTTGAAAATGTCGGAAGGATGGGGATATATTGCCTTGGTATGCAGAGGAGTGATCCTACAGGAAATATTTCAACTCGGAAGATGGGGATATATTGCCTTGGTATGCAGAGGAGTGATCCTTTGCCTTGGTATGCAGAGGAGTGATCCTACAGGAAATATGCAGAGCTCGGAATGCGGTAGTATTCAGAGGGGAGCGAATCCCATTCCAGCAACAACAGACACAAATCAAAATTAACATTCGATCTCAATCTATGATTCAAGTCGACTGGAAAGGAGGATAGGGTCAACATTCGATCTCAATCCATGATTCAAGTCGACTGGAAAGGAGGATAGGGTCAACAAAAGAAGAATCTGTTCTTGTTTCGGAAAACTTGGGCACGAGACAAAAAGTTTGCTAGCACTACTACGGACGGGAAGATGGTTATAGCAACATGGCTAAGACCTCCCTAGAATTGCCGCAGTTTCAGCAGGAATAGCTTGAGCTAGGCATTACCAGATAGGGGTAACTTCCGCGCAGTCACGAAAGCAGTTTGAAAATGCACTTCACGCATTGCCCCGAACACAACACACCCCCACGTGTATATACATTCACCATTACAGGCCGTTTTGCCTCAAGTGCATTTTCAAACTCAAACCCTGACTGCGCCGTAGTTTTCTCTATCAGATAATTATAGGAGGTAAGTCTAGTAGACCCTCTGGGTAATATGCTGTAAGTGAGGGCTTCTAGCTGAGGACAGCGCTACATGCCACCTCCCCTCAACACGCATTGATTTGCACAGTATAGCCTCACTTGGTTCTCCAGAATGATGGATAGGGATCCAAGAGTTGGTATAAACCAACATGACAGTAGGATCTTGACGGTGAGAACGGCACAGGCAGAATGACACTGGGCTTTGCCAGATCTGTCCGCCTCCTTTTTTTCAGTACTTCAAGCGAACTTTTTTGAGGAGTTCTTGATTGCAGGTTGATCATGGGACGCTGGACCCGGTTTCCAGTCCGTCGTCCCCCCCGGGTAGAATTGCGAGGTCCCCGGCCTCGACTTCAATCTATTTTTGTGATAAAAAGTGACCAATAAAAATAAAATAAAAAAATCCTTTCATCAAAACGGCCTTTCGAGAAAAGCAGAGAAACGGCTGCGTAGGGGCTGTTTCTCTCCTCCCTTACGGCCTCGCCACACCACAGTCGAAAGGCCAAAAAATTTGACGGCTGTCAGAACAAGTTCGACAGCCTCCATTCAACAGTTTGCCCCCCCTTCACCACACAGCACTGTAGATTACACGCACTTGTGAAAGCAAGATGGAAACAGACGAAGGCGCCTGAGGGTACAACAAGCACCAGTCCATTCCGACCTTACCCCCACTCACCAAATTTCGAAGTGAAGTCAACGACGCAGCCGAAGAGTGTCAAAGCATCGGAGTAGCAGGCTGGGGATTCAACAATTTTCGACAGGAGGTGTCGAGAAGCATTCTCTGACAACTCAATTTTCTTCCTGTCTCCGACTTCGACAGCCTGTGTGGCGAAGAGGAACTGTCAAAAATCACATTTTCGACTGTTGTGCGAGGCCCTTACTCGCCCGTACTTCGCTTTATGCTTGTTTGTGTGTGTGGTCACAAAACTTGCTAACCAGGGTCCTTTACTACACACACGTGACGTGCTCTCACTCTACAATATCAGGGCCGAGGTCCCACAAGCAAAAAGAAAAGGATCGAGCTCCTGAATCTGGATGTGTTTTAAGCACAGATGCAGAAAAGCCGTTCAATCTCGACTTCCTGCACAATTCCGTAAACTCATCCAGATTCAGGCATTCTATCCGATCCTCTTGGCTAGTGGGACCACTCCCCAGGGCATCGAAGGGACAGTCAATGGGGGTGAGAACGAGCGTGTGATATTTCGCCCTTAAAAACATCTGTGGGGCCTCCCCACGATGAGAGGGCCTCCCCTCGACCTACGACCAGCATCTGACCCATGGGAAAAAAAAAAAAAAGAAAGAAAAAGACATTTAAGCATAGCCCTGCGGAGAGTCCATCTAACAAATGATAAGGAGAATCAAAAATAAAAGACAGATAGGACAGCTTGCAAATGGATACGGAAGGGAACACAAAACAAAACAAAAAAAAAAAAGCAGAATAGAGGTAGCCTCAGGTAGGTGAAAGGTAGCACATATGAATACACAAAGCTTCATAACTTGAAACAAAGGGTCTCTCTATCTCTCCCTCTCTCTCTCTCTCTCTCACACACACACACACACACAAACACACGTAACTTAAACCTAAGGGTCTCTCTCTCTCTCTCTCTCACACGCACACACACACACACACACCACACACACGCACACACACGCCCCTCCCTCCTCTACTCCTTTCTCAGCCTTCCTCCCTCATTTTTCTCTTCCACCCGCAGTCGTTTACACACACACACACACACAAACACACACACACACACACAGGCCCCCCGCACGCACGCACACACACACACAGCTACAGAACCACCTCACCATTGTTGCGCACCGCGGCACCGCTCTTAATAGCGGCCTTCTGCAGCTGGTGTAGCGTCGCCCCTGTCAGGTGTCCTTTATCCTGCACATTCACAAAACGCGTTACACATGGCCGTGAGACTGGCGGTCAGAACGAATTGAAAATAGAGAGTTGAAACCACCCAAAAAAACGTTAAAAAAACGAAAACAAAGGAAATCAGGAGCCGAGCGACTAAGGACCTCACCCCACCACAAGATGCAGGCAACAAAACGGGAAAAAAAAGCTGCTGATACGACAGTGGGTAAACTGCAGAATTTTGTTCAGAAATGCGGATCCCACAACTTTCCGATGTAGGAGGGCGCGGCACTTTGTTAGGGGTACATTTTCCGTTTCTGTGTACGTGGCGCGAAGTCAAGATGGACGGCCCAACGGTGCTACACAAAATGGAAAGCGTGAGGACCCCTACGGTGCTACACACAAGTAAAGCTCGAGGACCCCTACCCCTACCAAAAAAGCTGCCGCAAAAATGAGTCCGCCTTTTCGATGTCCGCCCTTGGTGAAAATGGGCCAGGTTCCACTCTGTCCTGGCCGTTGGCAGACGCCGTGTCACCCACTTGGGGAGGCCAGGCCATACGGTGGGACCCGCCCTTGGTGAAAATGGGCCAGGTTCCACTCTGTCCTGACCGTTGGCAGATGCCGTGTCACCCACTTGGGAGCCAGGCCATTTGGTGGGACATTCCAGGCCATACGGACCTGATATGGTGGTCCACAGGAATGTCCGTCACCGTGGAAGGCCAAAAAATCCCACCGCAGTCCTTGGGAAAGACCTGCGGATGGCGGTCGTGTGGGGTCTTGATTTTGCTTTTCTGACCCGTCCTACGCGTTGCCTTAGGGACTTTCATGTTTTCTCTTTTTGTGTATTGTGGGATCAGCACCTAAGGAAATAGGCACCCGAGCCAACGAGAGCGAACGAGGGCCTCGCCGGCTAGCAAATGTATCTGAGGGCAATTACGTCCAACTCTGCATGTATCTAACTGCAATTATGTCCATAGTTGAGCCAGAAAAGTCCTACCGATATAAAAAATAAAACGCCCTGTCCTTATCGAAAACGCCCTGTCCTTATAGCCGTATCGAGACGGCAAGTTAACCTGATTCAGAAGATGGTAATCAGGTATGCTCTAATACCGGGGGATGTCTCTTGCGACCAGCGGGGGAGAACCGACCCCAAAATAGAAAATGTCCCACGACCAAACACCTGCGCCGAGTCCTTCGGGACATCCGTATTTGTTCAATTGGGTTTATTAGTTCTCATTTGTTTTCGTTTTCATTTTTTGGGATAATTTAAAAACTAGCCCCATAAGTTGAGATAAATGCCAAAATGCCCCTGAAAGATGTAGGTAGAGCAGAATGCCCTCTTGGACCGAAATCTTTGTGTTGTGCCCCTGTCAGGCGGGTGTGCAACTTTGCAGTCTGAACCACTCCATTTGGGCCTTGGCCTTTTGCAATAGCGCCTAAAATTTGGCAAGTGCTGGGGCATTTTGCGAAGTTGGACGGTAACCGGTAGGGGTATATTTCCAAGATGGGGGACCAACCGACGCTGGGGCCATTTCACAAATCCCACTTTTTGCGAGAGGGGTATTCCGCTCTACCCACATCTTGTAAGGGTATTTTGGCATATATCTGAACTTATGGGGGTATTTCGCAAATTAATAAATTATCCCTTATGGGGGTATTTCACAAAATATCGAATTGGACAAAACATCTATCCCCCGAAAACATCTATCCCCCGACCAAACACCTGCGACGATTTGCTTCGATACAAAAAGGTAGTAGAATTTGTTCAATTGGGTTTATTAGTTCTTGTTTGGTTTTGTTTTTATTTTTTTGTTCTTTAATATTCTTTTTCCTTTTTAAATCCAACTGGACAAACACATCATTGCAGGTCAACTACTCTCTACGCTCCAGAATCCATTTCCTTGACAAATCAAAAACAAATCGCCTGCTCGGGAACATCCGCTGAGATTGGAATCATACAGAGAAGCAAGGCCTCTACACAAGACTGACCGGCATAAATCCAAGAAAAAAATGAAACTAAAAAAATCGTCGCAGGTCAACTACTCCACACTCTGAAATCTACTCTTTGACTGCAAACAACTCATTGCAGGTCAACTGCTCTCTAAGGGCCTCGCTCCACTACTCTCCACACACACAAAAGACAAAACTCAAGGCGGTGAATCTTTCCATATTCTAGGAGGAGATTCACTCTCGTTTTGCACATTTCGGGAGTAGTGGAGCGAAGGCCTAAGGGCCTCACCACACCACTGTCGAAAATGCAATTTTTGACAGTTTCTCTTCACCACACAGGCTGTCCAAGTCGGAGACGGGAAAAAAATTCTCCAGTTGTCAGCGCATGCTTCTCGACAGCTCCTGTCGAAAGTTGTTGAATCCCCAGCCTGCTACTCCCATACTTTCGACACTCCTCGGCTGCGCCGTCGACTTCTCTTCAAAATTCGGTGAGAGGTGTCAAGGTCAGGATGGACTAATGCTTGTCGTAACCTTCGGCCCGTTCGTCTTTTTCCATCTTGCATTCACAAGTGCGTGCACTCTACAGTGCTGTGTGGCAAAAGGGGGCAAACTGTCGAATGGAGGCTGTCGAATTTGTTCTGACAGCCATCGAATTTTTTCGCCTTTCAACATCACAAAATTCGACATATGTCAGGAAATTTTCGACATTCCCTCTTTCACAGAAAACCCCTCTTCGCCACACCGCATGTCCAAGTGAAGAACTCACGAGTCGTATGCACAAAAGAGACAAACTGGGGTGAAGATACGACAAGCATTGGTGCCTTCTCTTTTTCGACATTCGGGCAAGAATTCGACATCCCATCGGAGGACTGTTGAAAATGTCCAAGTTGCAGGCTGGGAAACGAGCCCGTCTCGAGAGGTGGTGTGGAAACCCTTTCCCTGACAGCTCCTGAATTTTTTTTGCATCTCGGATTTCGACATGCTGTGCGGCGAGGAGAAAATGTCAAAAATTCAGTTTTCGACATTGGTGTGGAGAGGCTCTTGCCACACCACTCTCGAATCTCAAAAATTCATGAGTCAGGCTGCCACACAGCATCGCTCAAAAAAAAAACTTGAAACTGTTCAAGAGCTGTCAGGAAGGGGTTTTCGAGTGCCCTCTCGAAACGATGTTTTTGCCCAGCCTGCAGCGTTGGAATTTTCGTGATACCGCCCCTCCGCGCTCGAGTTCGACGTCCATTTCGAGAGTTGTCAGGCCGTTTTTGGTGATGCAGCCTGTCCACGCTCGAGTTAGTCCATTTCAAGAGGCCGGTCTAGTGTGCGATCTGGCGAAGGGCCATTTTCTCTTGAAAACCGGCCTTTCGAAAAATCCTGACAGCTCTCGAATATTTTAGAGATTCGAGAGTGGTGTGGCGAGGCCCTAATTCGGACCATTTCTCTATTTATGCATATCATCCTTGAACAGGGGCCATGCTAATCTTCTGTGTATCGTTCCAATTTTAACGGATGTCCCGGAGGACAGAGGTGTACTTTCCTCCGCACCGCCACTACAGATGCCGTCCTTTCCTGAACCAACTTCCCTGCACTATCACCCTACGGGGGACCGCCACTACAGATGTCGTCCTTTTCTGAACCAACTTCCCTGCACTATCACCCTACCGTCCTCCCCCGAACATAACGCACCCTAAAATGAATGTATACAAGATATATTTCCGGCCAGATACAGCCAAAATGAGGGTGTGTTGTGTTCGGGGGAAGACCGTAGTCCCGACCTTCGAGAGGCCGGTCTAGTGTGCGATAACCAGCCTCTCGAAAAATCCTGACAGCTCTCGAATATTTTCGAGATTCGAGAGTGGTGTGGCGAGGCCCTAATTCGGACCATTTCTCTATTTATGCATATCATCCTTGAACAGGGGCCATGCTAATCTTCTGTGTATCGTTCCAATTTCAACGGCTATCAAAAGACAGAGGTGTACTTTTACAGATGCCGTCCTTTCCTGAACCAACTTCCCTGCACTATCACCCTATGGGGACCGCCACTACAGATGTCGTCCTTTTCTGAACCAACTTCCCTGCACTATCACCCTACCGTCCTCCCCCGAACATAACACACCCTAAAATGAATGTATACAAGATATATTTCCGGCCAGATACAGCCAAAATGAGGGTGTGTTGTGTTCGGGGGAAGACCTTAGTCCCGACCACGGCTGACCGCTACTACCAGGGTCAATATCGTTCTGGTATATGTCACGGCACGACCTTGACATATCAACATTGAGTTGACCGGCGCCACGTGATCCAGAACGATATTACTTCGGTCATCCGGATTCGGACTGGAGTCTGTATTTCAACAGTCAATAAGTATACTGAGCTACCTTCTTCCCCGGAATACAACGCACGGTCATCGTAGCGGTATTTGGGGTATCTTTCAGTCTAAATACAGCTATGTAGGCCCGTTCGCAATGCCTAGCCTCTGATCCTAACCACCTTCTGTAGTTCAAATTGGGGAACCATGAGCACAAAACCGGCGGTGCGTTCAATGGACAGAATGCTTTTCACCCTTTCTTTTTCTTTTTCTTTTTTTGAACAATTACCTGTCGAATCTGGACAGGACAGCCTTTCCGGCCTTTTTTATTGTCATTATAGTATTATGGGGAACCCCGTAACAGCCACATCCGTGCTCAAGCTCCAACGCGGGGAACATGGGGGAGCCGCACCCACCAGCAGATGCGATACCTGCTACAGCAGGCGGGTGATACTGGCCAGGGTTCAGCCGGTAGCATCAGGACCGACCTTCTTCGATGGGCCAGTCACTGTGCCTCCCCTCCGATCCCCTCCCCCTCCCCCTATGATCGGTCCTTCGATGGGCCAGTCACTGTGCCTCCCCTCCGGTCCCCTCCCCCTCCCCCTATGATCGATCCTTCGATGGGCCAGTCACTGTGCCTCCCCTCCTGTCCCCTCCCCCTCCCCCTATGAACATCAGCAGTCTCTGCTCAATGCCACTCGGGGGGGACCGACGGCATATCTCTCCAAGCTTGCCCAGGAAGGTGCATGAGGCCAATGGGGATTGAACCCAAGACCTCCTGAATGCCCTGCGCCCTTTCACAGCAAACAACCTGCATTTCTTTTTTTTTTTTTTTTTTTTTTTTTGGTGATCACAACTCAATGTTTGTTTTTACGTTCCACTACGTACTCCTACGACTATCTAGAGGGGACCCCTGCAAGCATAGTTTTCCTCTCTCTGTGAAGGGGGGATTTCACGTTGCCCCCTTGCCCCTAATGGTTAGGGTATAGGGTTGGGGCCGCCAGTGGGGGTCTGGCTAACACAAAGACCGAGACCTGCCAGTAGCTGTGCCTGCCTTTCTCATCGTCCCCCACCCTTCATCGAATACCAGCAGAGGCTATGGCCAACACTCTCCCACACACCACACACAACCCACTCGCGCTCACACTCACACCCGTGTAGGTCATAGACCCCGCTAATACCGATCAGGGGTATCCAGAGGACTATCACAGTCCGTTGGCACTAAATGCGCCGCAGGCGGCCATGGGGATTGAACCCACAACCTCCTGAATGCCACTTGCATGCCTAACCAACTGAGGTAGGCCGCTGGATCAACCTGCATTTTTTATTTTTTATTTTTTTTAAAAACAACCTGCATTTCAAAAAAGGGGAAATTAAGCAATAACAAAAAAACGAAAGAAGAAAGAGCCCCGAGTCGGATATCGGATCTCCCGCCGATCCGTCCACGCCTGTTCCTTCGGCTTCGGATTCGCAGGCCAGCGGAAAGCGGTAGTGGGAATCTCGTTCGAGGAAGACCCTATTCCTGTCGAGCTCGAGTACAACGTACGGTCATTATAGCTGCATTTGGGTTATCTTTCAGACTAAATACACCAATAATGACCGTCGAATACACTCGAGTGAAACAATGCACCTCCGAATTGAATTCCATACGCAGTCAAGGCCCGGGCCCCACTGGTGTTCCATTCATGACAAAAAAGAAATCGGGTTGTCCATTCGACAAAAAAAAAAAAAAAAAAAAAAAAAAAAAAAAAAAAAGAACACTGGCACATGACCGTCATAATGATCAACTTCCCATCCAGGCATGAACAGCATCAGTGGGACTGTTCGTGCCGGGACGCACGAACCTGATCACAATAACGGTCACGTGCAAACTTTTCAGCATGAATATAGCACCGGTGGGACTGTTCGTCCTTAAACGCATGAATTTGATCGTGATGACAGTCATGTACAAGCCGTACGGTCAGGTTCATGCGTTCCGACCACAAACATATGGCGCCCGCCAGGCCATTTATGACGAGACTGATCCGTATTGACGCCCGCATTGTACTACGGTGTTCACCTTCACCCGAATAGAACGCCGAGTCGTCATACCTGCATTTTGTGCAACTGCCAGTCTAGATACACGGACAATGAGCGGGCGTTCTAACGGAGATGTCAGTGCCACGTCAAATGCAAATGTGCATACCAGTAGGCCTTAGAAAATACAATAACATCATCTTGTGGACCCATAATATCGAATTGTCGATCCTACTAAACCAGCTACATTTAAAAATAAATAAATAAATAAGCCATCTACATTGGACCACTTCGACCATGGGCCTTGCTTTTTGGGAACAGTCATAAAACCTCTCCGCCACGAAACCTTTGTATCCATATCCCCCCAAACGGGAAATAAACTTTAAAAACGTGCTGCAGGTCCCAAATTCACAAAGGTTTCGTCGCGGGAGGTTTTACGACTCTTCCCCTCTTTTTTTTGTTGGGGCGGGGGGCGATACTATTGGTTTTTGTTTATGCGTATCTGGACCTTGACAAAAAACACACAGCGTGTGACCACTTGCCCTTATGTTTGTCGCGATCTATGAACCTCGCAACTACCTTCTTCCCCCGAATACAACGTACGGTCATTATAGCTGTATCTAGAATGAAAGATGCCTCAAATGCAGCCATGATGACCGAAGAAGGTACGGCCACATCAGTCAGAATGACCTCTGCGGCGGCACACTCACAAAAGAGTTAGAAAAGAATTTCGCCGAGTCAGAAAGGAATTTCCCCGGACGTATTCGTTCGCAATTACGGCAACTTCCAGGCAACGGACTTCCTAGGACGCATCCGTCTGCAAATACAGCCACATTCAGTCAAAATTTACCCGTCGGTAGTGTGCATGCAGCCCCAGTCAGCTCTATGCGCGCAACTGCCGCCAAAATCGCCAATTAAATAATCGTGATACCTCATGCTCATAGGCGCGACGATAACATGATTACTTGACTTGATTGTTGTGCTGTGGCCTTCCCTCGAAAAAAAAAAAAACCTCTCATCGCGAATGTATACGAACTTAGCTCTTCGGCTCCACGGGACAGGTAAATATACGAGCGTGCGTTGTACTCGCGGGAAGACGGTGGACACTCGTCCGGGAGTCCGTAATCGGTAGCTTCGGCAGCAGAAAAGCAGGCACTGCCACTGCCCCACATACTGCACCAGAAAGACTGCAAGTTGCCCCCCATACCCGATAATGACTGCGCAATGCGCATACATTCGGCTGAAGATGAGCCGTCAAACATTCCAGTCAAACACGCACTACCTCTATCCTTGACACAGTTGTTTCCTTACCTACATCGTGGTCCGCGCAATTACTACCGTCATTGAACACTTAACGTGAATATAACGTATGTTCATTCCCACTATATCTACACAGAAACGCCACCCAAACACAACTATATTGACCATGCGGTCCAGTCTGGGTGATAACTAGGCAACGATGACTTAACAAGACTGGCTACCTCGTCAGCACCTTGAAACGAAAAGTCGTTCAGATTGCCGCCGCCTGCGCATACGGAATAGGACGGAATAGGACGGTTTCTACACTGCGAAAGGCAAACACAATTAAAACAGGAAAAATTATAAAACCTCCCTTTCAACCCAAACGGGGTGAAATGAATATGAAGGTTTAGACGCGGGGAGGTTCAATAACTTTTCCCGATAGAAACGACGGTGAACAAGGAGAAGGGAACACATATCCAGTGCAAGAAAAAAGAACAAATAAGACTCAAGAGGACCATATATATCGAAAGATCGCGGTCCACGTACATCTCAGAGAGAGATAAATGTCTAGAAATTTGTAATTAGCGGATGAAAAACTCCGCACTGAAAAAAAAAAAAAAAAAAAAAAAAAAATAATATAATAAAAATAATAAAAAAAAAAAAAAAAAAAAAAAAAAAAAAAAAAAAAAAGATCGCGGTCCAGCAAGCGACGACGTGAGAGGAAACCGGCCGGGAAGGCAAATACAGGGAGCACAAGTACAAGACGAGAGAAGGAGAAATAAGACCGGGAAAAGCACCGTATATATCAAGAGATCGAGTCAAAAACGCTCACCTCCCACCTCTCATTTTCCTCCCAACGAAGTTTTCACCCCATTTGCAAAGACTGTGCAGTGAATTTGTTAACGTGTTCGAAATCACTCGGACAAGACTTCGTCCTCTCAACTACCAGAAAACTGCCTCGAGAACTTGTGGAGTGCCAAATCACGCCGTCCGTCGTACAAAATTTGTTAAAGAGAAAAACATACTCCCTCCGAGACGGGTGATGAGTGCTCACATCGGCAACACCAAGTCGGACACTCCTCACACCGGCAGAAGAAAACAATAAAGCTTCAGCAAGGGAAATTAGGGAATCACTTGCACTTGCCTATCACACTGAAAGGACTCGTCAGCCTGGGGGCAAGTCCCACTAGCAGCGTTGAGCTACCTCAACACCTGAATCTGGACGCTTTTGCGGAGATGTGCAGAAATGGTGTTGAGTTTCCTGAACTGCACGTCTCCACAAACACGTCCAGATTCAGGCGTTGAGGTAGCTCAACGCTGCTAGTGGGACTTGGCCCCTGATGCATTAAGGAATAGATTATTATGAGATCCGAGAACACTTCACCACTAGAGTTGAACTACATTTCGGTACGGAATCGATCAACCACACTTAGTCTGATATAAAGCCTCAGGAAGTCGATCAGTGATGGCTCTAGCGCGAAGTAAGTGTTGCCACCAACGACAATCGGTGATCTGCATGTGACCTGCTCCTGTGTTCATGTGAGAAGCTCTTTCACAACATTCAGAAGATCTACATAGGATATTGCCGATGGTTTCACATACTAAGAGGGAAGCGTGTCTCCTCGACGAATCCAACCGCATTTAAGACTAGAGGGAAGCGTGTCTCCTCGACGAATCCAACCGCATTTAAGACTAGATTCACTCCTGGAAAGCCTTGGGTGGGTTGGGCACACTTCCTATCTTCCTCCCCCATGAGCTGACCGTCAATGACCTGCAATTACGGGCGATTGCATTATACAACCGCCAAAAAACACTGACGGACGATTGCATCGGGCTGGGCATCCTCACTACACCCTGCCCCAAAGACCGAACGTTAAGCACCTGGAATTACGGGAACTTACGGGCAATTAGGTACTGTAGTTCACAGACAGCACTCAATTCGGCTGGCACCGACCGAGCACATATCAACGGCCACAAGCCGGGGAAGGAGAGGGCAAAGATAGAAAGGGCCAAGACTTCCAGGAGTTAATCTCAGTCATAATGCGGTCTGATTCGTCCAGGATGGTGCCAACTATAACCATATGAATGAACATCTTTCCCGTACCTGAATGGCCTCGTTCAGCTTGCTCACATATGTCGCATGATGTCCGTCGTGATGCGCCCGCATCGTCGCTGTATCTATGAAAGGCTCCAGCGCGTTGTAATCGTAAGGGAGGTCCGGCAATTTATACGGACCCGCGGTCCCCGAGGATGTCGCCCCCGCCCCCGTTTCCGTCTCCCTTCCCGGCCCCGCAGCCGCCGCCGCCAAGGCGGTCGTATGCACCCTCCTGCCAGGCCTCCGCGGCACCACTCCGTTCCTAACACTACCATTCTTGGCCAATGACGTGGGCGGCATGAATGGCGTCACGTCCGATCCCAGAAAACTCCCTCGTCGCGACAAGAGGCGGGAACACAGACCGAGACCCGCTGCGAGCCTCAAGGGGACCACGGCCGCCGCTAGCGCCGCCATCGCCGCGATGAGCGGTTGTCAAATCGCCCGCGACAACAAATTTTGCACAAGCCAAACAGAACTCGTCCGCCGGCACCAAACAAAAGCCACAACGTTAGCCCTGCTTGACCGCCCAGACGACGTCCCACCTCGTCAAAACCAGAGGAGTCCACACAGCCTCGACGAGCGCATATAAGACTGTTTCGTCACGACCGACTACCTGTTTCGCGCTCAGCCTGAGTCGCGTGGAAGTCTTCGTCGTCTCGTCGTCTCGTTTGATACTTCTAGGCTAGCGAGGACACACTTGCGTTGCGTCTTTTTAGCTGACGTCGTCTGCTTTTATACTTCTAGCAAAGCCAGAGTCACGTTGCGTCTCTGCTTTTATACTTCTAGCAAAGCCAGAGTCACGTTGCGTCTCTTTAGGCGCGCGTCACACAGGAGAGTTCCCGATGACTGCGCTGGGCGGGAAACGCTGCACGCCGCACTTTGAGAGCCGCGGTAAAAAAAAAAAAGAAAAAGCGATGCGGTTGCACGTTGACGAAGACGAGAGGTGGAATTCGCTTAGGGTTGGACCCCACAGCTTTGCGGACTGGAAAAGTTTTGCCCCGTTTTTTTTCCGCGGAATGGTTTTCTGGGACCCCACACCCCGGAATCGTCGGCGTGGAAGAACGGGATTTGGTTTCCAACTTGGAAAAGTTTCGCGGGAGCAATTTTCGCCGCCGAATTGTGCAGGGTAGCGGTGATGTCTCGAAGGTTTCCAAGGTTGAGGAGGGCGGACTTTCGGTTGTCCGCAACTTGTCGAGCATTGGTTCCTGGAACAGGTTCGGCCAGCCGAACTGCACGGTACAGGCCGGTTGGTCCGACAAGACAGAAGGAAGTTGTGGTCCCCCACTGGAGGCTCCGGCAAGCGCCTCCAGTAAAAGCAACATGACCGATGAGGCCAAACGTCCATTAAAAAACATATGTTTGCGGGGAGCACCTGCAAATGAACAGCCGTCCATCTCCCCAATGGTCGGTCCGCACGCCAAACGGTGCATGGACGGGCCCGGCACAGCCACGGCCTCCGGCGGTGCAAATACGTTGGGAGGCCTGTCACACAGCGTCCACCGACCGTCGCTCGATGTCGCTCTATGTCGCTCGCCGGAGTGGGCCGGTTGTTCCTGCGGTCCTTGCGAAAACGCACGGACATTGCACTGCTTTCCTTTTCCGGAAGCCAACCATGCCTTTCCTTTTACGGAAAGGCAACAACCCTGTTTGCCGCAAAACAGCGTCCGCGGTGGGATACCCGAAAAATCTTTTCCGAGCTTTCCAAGATGCTTTGCCCACTTCTCGTGGGAAAACCACTTTTCCATCCGCAAAGCTGTGGGGTCCAGTGTGCCGCTAACTGTATGATTTAATAGGAGGTTGGGGTGGTTTCCAGCAGGTGAAGTTCACACCCACCCAATGGAACGTAGCCGCCGTCTACTGCCACGCTTCAATCCCAGTGGTGCTCCTACAACAGAAGGATCTTTCTTTTTCCTAGGGATATAATTTTTATTTTTATTTTTTTTATTTTTTTATTTTTTCAACACACGGGCCCAGTGCCCGAGGCTCATATTACCAAAGCAATTTGAGGCCGGGGTCCTCACAGTCTACCCGGATGGCTGGGAGCATTACCCAGTTTCGCTTACGGGATTTCTCCCGAGGGGACCAACCCTCTGAACAGCAAACTCAAAGCATCTGCTGAGAGCACACTAGGCTACTAGGCCAACTGGTTGTCCAGAGTCTATCCAGACTGCTCCTATAGCGGGGCAGCGGAGCATCTGCTCCATGATCAAAAGATGACGCTCCCCTCACTACCATATAATCACCACCTACCGCCCTCCTACTGAGGAGATAAACCAAGCGCCCAGGTTTTTACTCACAGTCTAGTAGCCACTGATCCAGTACCAGCTTTGAGTCCTGCACTTTGGCCAGCTGTTCCTGGATCGCTCCTCTCTGATGTGTACTGAACACCTTCCGTCTCCAATCACTCTTGATGTTCCTCCGGATATGCAATTTCACTGAAGACTTGATGGCCTTACCCGAGAGGAACCTGCCTTCAAATACATTCTTATTCCTTGTTTCCCAGATGACAAGCATTATGCAGGCCCTGAGTGCTTGGGCCACATACCCGCACCCTTCGTCAAGGGTGAGGTCCTCCGGAACACCACCGAACAGAATCCAGTGGTCGTCCGAGGGAAAGACCGGGCCACTGAGATGATCCCAGTGGTCTGTCCACCATGTCCAAATCCGTCGAGATAAAGGGGCTCATTCGACACTCCTCGGGCGCGTAAAGTCCCCGAGGAATTGTTCGTTCCACTTATCCTTGGGTTTGCAGTCGGAAAAAAAAAAGTGAAAACACTCCGAAGGAAATTCCTCGGGCTCCGAGGATTCCCCAGCCATTTCTCCCTTTTGCCCAAGGGACCTCACGAGGTCCCTTGGGCAAAAGGAATCCGCGTTTCACAGAGAGGAACGGGCACACGCGTAGAGAGACATTACAACTGAGAATCTGGATCGTGGCGGCACCCTATTGGCTGAAGGCCACATTTGTTTGTTTTTTTTTTCCTTTTTTCTTTTCTGACATCGCTCCAAGGAAACGTCCTCGGGCGACGTCCCCGAGGACAGGTGGAACGAAGGGCCCAAATTTCCTTTTGACTAAAAGGAATTTTCCTCGGGCTCCAAGGACGCCCCAAGGAGTGCCGAACGAGCCCCAAAGGGCACCAGAGCCATAGATGTACTGTAGATTCAAATGGCCAACGGCACCTTGAACAGTGCATCTGAATTTTCATGCCCCTCTCAACAAGCCACACTGCTGAGGGGGTTGCAAGCAACGAAAGCAGCCACAGTAAGGCTGCAGCTCTTGGCATTGGAAGTTTGTGAAGCTGCGCCCAGCATCTCTTGATATTGCGGCTCACTATGGCGTCTTCAGTAGTGTTCACCTGCGTCCATCTGCTTACTGCGGCCGACATTGGTGTCCTTTCAGGAAGAAGTATTGCGCCCATCAGCTTACTGCGGCCAGCATTGGTGTCCTTTCAGGAAGAAGTAAGTCATATCCTCCTCTTGAGCAGTAATCGGATAATCATGCGTCTTTGGGGAATTTATCCGAACCTCTCCAGGACCACAGTTTGGGGTCCAGCCGCAGCATCCGTATTGGTGTTCCTCCTGCCCACACTGAACATGTCCATGTGCCATCATCAGCACAGAGCAACCATACTCTGACCTGTGTCAGCGTCCCCAGCGGCCGGCTGGGGGGGGGTGGGTCTTCTTCTTCCTCCTTGTCCGTGAGAAGCTGCGCCGAAGTGGGATCCTTGTGCCACCGTTGAACCGTCCTGGAGCCATCCGTTTTCATTGCTACCAGCTTCCAAAAGGCACCAGGTTGCTCCTCCTCTGATTCCTGACACTGCAGTTTCAACCATGTTCCCGGAGGGGGAACTCCTGCTCGGCTCAGCAGATGCGCCCACTCCGGGGGGGTAGCGGTCCTGAGTAGGACCGCTCTTTCATCAATGTGAGCAAGCCTTCCCAACTTGTATCTGAGGTCCTCGAGCTTAACCCATTGACCTGTCAGCTCGTCCCACAAATCCGCTATGTGCAACACCCCCTTTTCCGCCCATTGCCGTCCGAATGCCTGAGTGTTACAACCCGCCGAGAAGGGGAAGCCATTTGGGTCCAGGATAAATGGGTTGTCGAAGAGAGGTTGCGAGAGCACTTCTTCTCTGGTTGTCGGGGGGATCCATTGACGTGGGCCCACCTTCCTCCAGGCCCTGAGTATGTCTTACCGAAAAGGGGAGGAGACTCACCGATGCAAGAATGAGTCCATCATGCAACAGGTCCAAGCATTTTTACATCGTGGCAACTTCCAGTCCCGCGCCAGCAATTGTTCTGCCAGGAGAATCCAGTGATCGTCCGTTTCGCTAGAGATGACCTTGATTACCCACCTGACTAACAGAGGCTACAGAGCTGCATTTTGTTTGGCTGGGTCTAGCATACCCAATCCCCCAACCTCTCGTGGGTAACAGATTAGGTCCCTTAGATATGAAGCCCTCCTTTTTTTTGGAGAACGGCTTCCAAATAAATTTAGCTGCAACCCTTCGTAGTACGTACCACTTTTAGCATCTGTTTTCCAAGAGCCCGAACTGGATGGGGGCCTGGAAGTGCGAAAAAGGGGGTGTGCCAAGGATTTTAGGAAAGTGGGGATGGAGTCTCAGGTTGGAATTGAGATCTCCTGTGGCAAGTTTCAGGGGTAAAAGTGCAAGAGGGCAAGTGCGGGCCATGCGCAGGTTTCAGGTTTTAGGAGCGAATAGACCGGCTCTCAGACAGATGAAAGCTGCAGATGTCATGCAGCATAAGGCAGACGGCATGCGCAGTGTATCCCAGGGATAAGAGTCCCGACATAATCACGTTGTTAACAGATCTAGACACTCTTGCATTCTTGGAACATAATCCCCCACAACATTACCCCTTCCGTCGATCTCAAGCATGTTTCCTATGCCTTAGGCCTGAGGGATGGGAATCACCATCTCCTCTGCTTTCGCCTTTGCGGTCGGTCGCGGACTTGATGGACCAGGTGCACGCTATGGGTATCGCGCTGTCTGATCAACTGCTGTCGTCGATCGCTGCAAACTTCGGAATCATACGACGAAGGTCTCAGCAAGAGGTTGCGTACCCGTCGTTCAGACTCCGTTCGGGTTCGGCGGACGAACCCCGAGGCTCGGTACTTGCTGTCTCGCAAGCACTCAGAACAAGGGGTTCGAGGCCAATAGGGAGCGATACCGTGCCACAGAATAATAGTGAGGTAGTGGAAGGGCAGCACCACTCGCTACGGTGGGCAGTGGGTTATTAGGATGACGACCCCAGGTTCGTCGAAGACGTCGAAGACGTGGCTCGTGTGGGACTCGGGGAATTGGGTTATGTAAGGAACAGCGTCCAATGCCCTTCCTATATCCCAATCGCACAGTGTCACACGTTCGTCTCCTCGCTAGTAAGGGAATCTCGGAGGATCGGGGCGGGGCTGAGCGAGGAAGTTCACGTTCTTTCGTTCCTAATATTTCCGATATTCCAGGTCTCGCAAA